AATTTCATTGTCTCCTTTTGCTTTTTTCTCTGAATGTTCTTGTCTATTAATGAAACTTGGGTATTGAAGTCTGCTACTAGTATTATACTAGTATATCTCCTTTCTTGATACCTGTTTTATATAGCTAGGTGCTCTATTGTTGGTTGCATATTTATATATTATATAAATATATATAATTGTAAAACATTCCTGATCATCTGATCCTTAAGTCATTATATAATGTCCTTCTTTGTCTCTTATGACTTTTTTAAATTTAAAATATATTAGCTTTATGTAAGTACAGACATACCTGCTGTCTTGTCTTTTTATTTGTATGAAATATCTTTTATTATTCTTTCTCTTTAAAGCCTGTGTATGTCCTTAAATCTAAAATGAGTCTCTTATAAACAACATATAGTTGGATCTTGATTTGTTTATGTTTTTTAAGTCCATTCAGCTATTCTACGTCTTTTAATTGAACAGTTTAATCTGCTCATGTTTAATTATTGATGGGGAAGGACTCACTATTGCCATTTTGCTAATCATTTTCTGTGCATAGTTCTTTTGTCCCTCAGTACCCCTACCCCTGCTGTCATCATTTGTATTTCATTGACATTTTTTGCAATGAATCCCTGATTAATGTTTTTCTTTTGTTTTTCTTCAATAGATATTTTCTTTTTGGTTACCATGAGGGTTACATAAAATATCTTAGAGTCTATCTTAAACCAACAACTTAATTTCAATCACACATAAAGCCACTATGTGATTATTATTTCCCATTTGTTATGTTATTTATAAGAGATTTTATATTATTACATATCCATATGTGTATTAAGAAGCAAATTTTTATAATATGGTTATCTTGAGCACTTTAGTCTTTTTGCTTTTGTGTCAAAGTTAAAAGTCATTTATGGAAGCCAGTACCGTGGTGCAGTAAGTTAATCCTCCGCCCGCAGCTCCAGCATCCCATGTGGGCACCGGTTCTAGTCCCAGCTGCTCCTCTTCCAATCCAGCTTTCTGCTGTGGCCTGGGAAAGCAGTGGAAGATGGCCCAAGTGCTTGGGCCCCTGCACCCACGTGGGAGACCAGGAAGAAACGCCTGACTCCTGGCTTCAGATCAATGCAGCTCCGGCCGTTGCAGCCATTTGGGGAGTGAACCAACAGACAGAAGAACTTTCTCTCTGTTTCTCCCTCTCACTGCCTGTAACTCTACTTCTCAAATAAATAAATAAAATCTTTAAAAAGAAAAAAAGTCATTTATGTGGCATAGCAGATAAAGCTGCCACCTGCAGTGCCGGCATCCCATATGGGCACCGGTTCTAGTCCCGGCTGCTCCACTTCTGATCCAGCTCTCTGCTCTGGCCTGGGAAAGCAGTGGAAGATGGCCCAAGTGCTTGGACCCCTGCACCCACATGGGAGACCCAGAAGAAGCTCCTGGCTCCTGGCTTCGGATTGGTGCAACTCCATCTGACGCGGCCATCTGGAGAGTGAACCAGCAGATGGAAGACCTCTCTCTCTCTCTCCCCCTCTCCTTCTCTCTCTGTGTAACACTTTCAAGTAAACAAATAAAATTTTTAAAAAGTCATTTATATATCATCATTAAGATATTTTAGTATTCTCTGTTTAGTAAGTTTTATGTTTCCTTATATTTTTGTTTGCTATTCCATGTCCTTTCATTTAAAGCTGAAGAACTCCTTTTTGTATTTCTTATAAGGAATGTCTAGAGATAATTAATTTCCACAGCTTTTATTTGTCCAAGAAAGTCTTTATCTTTCCTTTGCTACTAAGAGATAATACTTACTATGCATAGTATTCTAATAGGTAGTTTTTTTCTTTTTTTGTTTTCTTGCAGGCCTGTGAATATAGGCTTACTCTCCTTTCCAGTTTGCAGAGTTTCCTTTGGGAAATCTATTGATAGTGTTAGGGAGGCTCCACTGGGCATGAAAAGAAACTTTTTAGTGTGCTTTCTTTCAAAATTTTCTCTTTAATTTTTGACAATTTGATTACAATATGTCTCCATGTATATTTCTGCAGGTTCATCTATTTCAGAATTTTGGAGCTTCATAAATGTGGATATCCATTTTGTTCTCAGATTTGGGAATTTTTCAGCCATTGTTTCTTTAAATAAATTTTGTGCCTCTGTTTTGCTTCTAAGATTCCAATAATTCATATTGGGTCACTTCAGGGTGTCATGTAAATCCTTTAGGCTTTCTTTATTCTCTTTTTATTTATTCTTTATTTTTGCTCCTCTGAAGTAAGGATTGAAAATAACTTGTCTGAGTTTACTGATTCTTGCCTTTGATTAATGAAATCTTCTTAGAAGTTCTCTGTTCAGATTTACAGTTCAGTTATTGTGTTCTTCAGTTCTTGAATTGTTTTTTGTTTTTGTTTATGAATTGCATCTCTTTGCTGGTTTTCCCATTTTGTTCATCTGTTGGTTTCCAGATTTTATTCAGCTATCTATTTCTGCTTTGTAATTCATCTAACCTCTTTAAGATGATCATGCATGTTCATGGATATCCACTTCTTTAGGGTTTGTTGCATATATAACATTTGTTTTGCTCTTTTAGTTGTGTCCTATTAACCTGATTCTTCATGACCTTTCTGGCTTTGTTTTGATGTCTGCATATTAGAATTATAGTCACCTCTCCCAGGCTTTATGGATCAATTGACTTTGACAGGGAAAGTCCGTCATAAGTCATCCTAATAACCAGCCTTCTTTTTTAACTTCCCCAAGGCATCTGAATTACTGCAACAGATCCCTAAATGCTCCTTGTGAAGTGAAGCAGGAATGAGACCCTCAGAGAGTATACTGAAAGAACAGGGACATTCAAGCTTTGCTCCACTCCCTTTATTTCCCCTCAAAAGAGGAATCACAGATTGAGGCTCTCTCTCCAAACTGAGCTGTGCAGGCTTGGGGATGGGGCTGACATGGGTAAAGTAAAACTGTTCTTATTCATTTTGATATGGCTTTTATGAAGTTTATCTGGCATTCTGCAACTTCTTAACTGGATGCCTGACCTCTCATAAAAGTATTTTGTGTTAGCATATTTTTGTTAAATTGGTGTTTCTGTGAGGGAGTGAGGGCTAAGATTCTCAATCCTTGTTGCATGGGCAAATTGTCTGGAAAAACTTAAAATATAACTGCTTGAGTCCCATATCCAGAGGTTAGATTTATCTGGGGTGGGATGCAGGTATTGGGCTTTGACTAGCATCTTAGAAATACCTAGTGGGGAAAAATAGGTGCTAACTATTTTCTTAACTGAAATGCAAATTCTCTTGAAAAACTTCTAGATTGAGAACTATTGACTCTTTATGTCTCAGGGTTGTTTTCTTGACCTCCTTCCTTGTGTTTCATTGCCTCTTTATAACCAATATTCCCTGATCTTAAGCATACCTTCTCCCAACAGGTTCAAACCATAAGAGATTTCTTGCCTATGACATAAAATACATGGTCCAAAAAGAAAAGTAAAAAATAATAATTTGGGCTTCACTCAAATTTAAAATTTCTTCTCAAAAGACACCACTAAGTGCATAAAAAGAAAATATTTGCAAGTCAAGTATCTGAAAGAGAACCTGTATCCAGAATATCTAAACATCTCTTAAAATTAAATAAGAAAACAGATAATCCAGTTTTAATAAAGGACAAAAATAGTTTTTAATTTTTTTCTTTTCTTTTTTTAACTTTATTTAATAAATATAAATTTCCAAAGTACAACTTTTGGATTATAGCAGCTTTTTCCCCCCATAACCTCCCTCCCACCCACAACCATCCCATCTCCCGCTCCCTCTCCCATCCCATTAACATCAAGATCCATTTTCAACTATCTTTACATATAGAAGATCAGTTTAGTATTACTAAGTAAAAATTTGCACCCACACAGAAACACAAAGTTTAAAGTACTGTTTGAGTACTAGTTATACCATTAATTTACATAGTACAACACATTAAGGACAGAGATCCTACTTGGGGAGTAAGTACACAGTAACTCCTGTTGTTGATTTAACAATTGACACTCTTATTTATGATGTCAGTAATCACCTGAGGCTCTTGTCATGAGCTGCCAAGGCTATGGAAGCCTCTTGAGTTTGCCAACTCTGATCATATTTAGACAAGGCCATATTCAAAGTGGAAGTTCTCTCCTCCCTTCAGAGAAAAGTACTGCCTTCTTTGATGGACCGTTCTTTCCGCTGGGATCTCACTCACAGAGATCTTTCATTTAGGTCATTTTTTTTACCACAGTGTCTTGGCTCTCCATGAAAGGGCAAAGATATTTTAGCAACCATATCATCAAATAAGTTATATATTTGTCAAGTAAAAACATAAAAATGTGCTCAATATTAGTAGTCATTGGAAAAATGCCAATCTAAATCTCCAAAAGATACTACTACACATCTATTAAAATGGCTAAAGTTATAAAGACTAATAATCCCAAGTATTAATCAGGATACTGAGAAATTTGTAGGAATGGGAAGTATAATAATCATTATGGATAACAGTTTGGCATTTTTGAAGAAGTTAAAACCTGCACTTACATGTACTTTACCCATTTCATCCCTACATATTTATCCAAAAGGAAAGAAGGAATATATCCAAAAAGGTTGATAAAAAAATTTTCTAGCAGCTGTCTCCATAATAACCATATACTGGAAACAACTCTATATTAATCAAAAAGTGAAAGAGTGAAGAAATTATGGATTATCTGCACAGTTAAATATGTACTGTCCAGTAATCAAAATGAGCAACCAACAATGTGTGAATGACTCTATATAACTATGCGAAGGAAATAATCTAGAAAGGCAGAAGGGTGGAGACCAAGAGATTTCACTTATATAAAATTGTAGGAAATGTGAACTTATCCATAATGACAGAAAGCACAGTATGGGTTTCCTGGAGAGAGTGGGACAGAGTAAGAAGCAGCATGCTAATGCTAGATTTTCCTTTACAGGTGAGCTGATAGTAAAATATTTATAACCTATATCATTGATCTCATTTTTTTTTTACGTCGTCTTGTTATGCTGTTTTTGGAAGGCAGAGTGGACAGTGAGAGAGACAGAGAGAAAGGTCTTCCTTTTGCCGTTGGTTAAGCCGGCGCACCGCGCTGATCCGAAGGCAGGAGCCAGGTACTTCTCCTGGTCTCCCATGGGGTGCAGGGCCCAAGGACTTGGGCCATCCTCCACTGCACTCCCTGGCCACAGCAGAGAGCTGACCTGGAAGGGGGGCAACCGAGACAGAATATGGCGCCCTGACCAGGACTAGAACCCGGTGTGTCGGTGCCACAAGGTGGAGAATTAGCCTATGGAGCCACGGCACCGGCCTTATATCATTGATCTCAAAATATACACTATCAGTAAAAACATATAATATTTATAAGGAAAAGGAAGTACACATACTGCTACAGATTGTACCAAGCAAGGATCCCCCATAACCGAAGTCATCAAATTCATTTTATTTTGCAAAACATCAACCCTCTGATTGACCAATAAAAGCCCCGTTCTAAGGCTATTAGCTAAGTTTTCTTGAGCCATCAATGCCCGTGCGCTTTGTCCGGTTATATTGTTTAGGTGGTTAACGGACCGACTTGCGTAACCACCAGTGTGACCGCAGCAGCGCTGGCCACCACCGCCGCAGTAACGGCGGTTACCAAGGCTGCCGTAATTTCAAAATCTCGTCGCGAGTGTAGCATCACAGCAAAATCCTTAGGGTTGGCTTCAACGGGAACGGGAATTTATGTGGGAACTCTCATAACTATGCCCACATTAGTGCCATTCCAGCATTGAGTAATATAGCCGGAAGAGCAAGTATTATTGGAGGGAATACAAACATACCACAAAAAGGGGGGGTCAACACACACATTTGCCGTGAAGTTTGGGGATACAAAACTGTGGGTAAGGTTCATGGGCTTGAAGGTACGTCCATTATCACATCCCCAGGTGCCATTGGACCAGGAAAAATTACTCAAAAACAGCATTGCTGTAGCATCAGTACAAGCACCCGCACTATTGCAAATAACAAAAGGATCCCACATATTTCCCGCAAATGAAAGACGTTTATATGTGGTAGCATTAGAATGAGGGGAAGAAAAATATGTGGTCTCATTGTTGTACCCGGGCCAGCCCTGAAAGCCCGTATCATGGGTCGTAGAAAATCCATTTGCCAACCAATGATGGTTATAACCGCTTTGACAAACCATAAATTTGGGCTGGAGGGGATCTACCCTCGGCCTGCACGATGGCAACATGCGGGTCAGGGGAGTGCGCCCAGACCCACTTCGACGGGTTGGAATGGAGCCGGAGGAGTAGGTCACAAAGGTACCGTTAGGCCCCTTAGGCTGGAGAAGTTCAGTCAATGATTGATTGGTTAGAACAAGACAGGGCGTGGTCCCACTTACCTCATCGAGCCCAGAGAAATCTGAAAGCAAAGAGAACCGTTGAGGGCCGTGGACAAATTTAATGGTTCCGCTTTCAGAAAAGATTTAGTCAAGCTAGGTACCCCAAACACCGATAGGCTCTCATTATCAACAAACAGTACAGGCAACAATTTGGAGATATTACTTACAGGTAGAGGCCAGGGTAATGCTCGAAGCAATCCCCAATACACCCCCTGATCCTGACATATAACAACGTTGCTAAATAGCACAATATAAAAAATTTTAAGCAACACAATTGGTGTCATTGTTATGAATCGCAATTATCAGCAGTAAATAATCAATCAAAACTCCTAATAAGCCACTAACACAAGCCAGAAACAAAACTAACAAAAGCACAAATAACAGTCCTTTTATAACCCTTGGTTGTTCTCTGTTGTGCCTGAGTCGTGGGCCTCGTCCACGGTTTCTTCCGTAGGTTGTTGATCGTCCCGGTTTTCCTGCAGAAGTCGAACTCTTCTTTCCGGGGTCCAAATGGGTTGTGCTGCTCCCTGTGGGAAAAAGCAAACAGCGCCTCGTACCCTTCGCAACAACGGGAACGGGCCTTTCCACTTGTTATCCTGTAAATCTTTCCACATAATCCACTGTGGTTGGTCTTTGGCACCTGAGGAGTCGTGCATTTCCGCAGGTGTCTTTCCATTTTTCTTTTTGTTTAAAAAATTTATAGTATAGAGGGCTAGGGCTAAAGCATCCTTATTGGATACTGCGTATTCCCCTATTCCCCCTTTTTGTTTATTAATAAAATTTTTTAAATACAAGTGGGTACGTTTTACAATAGCTTGACCTTGAGGGTTGTAGGGTATGCCCATAATGTGGGTTATGCCAAAGTCTTTTACGAAGGCGGCAAATTGGGCCGAAGTGTATGCTGGCCTGTTGTCAGTTTTTATAATTTGGGGAACACCCCAAGCTGCAAAAGACTGTAGACAATGTTGAATAACTTGTTTAGTACCTTCTTTGTTAAGGGCCGTGGCCATGACTACATCCGAGTACGTATCCATTGTAACGTGGACGCAACTCTGACAGCCAAAAGAAGGAATGTGGGTGACATCCATTTGCCAAATGACAGGGTTTAAGGCCATGAGGATTGACCCCAGCGGGTATTTTGGGAACTATATTGACTGTGCATTTTTTGCAAGCTTTAATAATATTTTTTGCCTCTCCGTGGGAAATATTATACTTTATGTTTAAGGTAGTACTATTTACATGCCATTTGGAATGATATTGCTTGGCTAATTTAACACTTGTACAAACAAGCAAAAAGCGCGAATAGTAATCGGCCAAAGCATTGCCCTGACTGAGTGGTCCAGGCAAATTTGAATGAGCTCGAATACGGTCTGTAAAAATGGGATGGCTTCGCTGTATAAGCAAAGTCTGAAGTTGCTTTCAATAGGGATAAACAGTGGAACATTTGGAGACAGTGCATGCCTGTTCAAGCAATTTCACAACATTTACTACATAGGCACTATCTGAAAGTATATTTAACGGGCCCAGTTCCTTCTTTAAAAACAAAGCAATAATAGCTAATTCTGCATGTTGAGGAGAGGGGGAGGCAGTCAAAACAAAATATTGTTGGTTGCCAATTACTGTAGCCCCAGTTCCTCCTTTGGCTCCATCAGTAAACATAGTGAGGGTGTTTTTTTTATAGGCTGTTTACGTACCTTTTTTGTTTGAATAATTGGAATATGGGTACAAAACGAAACAAAAGGGTGATTTGGGTAGTGATTATCTACCGTTATATGTAGCATTAAAACAATATAAGCCCAAGCCCAATTTTCTCTTGTCCAGGCCTCGATGGCCTCCTTGCCAAACGGCGTAATACAGCGTGTAGGAAGTCTTTCAGAAGTTTCAACTGTGGGTTTTTGTTGTTTTTTTTTTTTTTTTTTTTTTACTGCGGTCAATATTAAATTTGCTACGGCCTGACCCTGAGTGTACAAGATTCGAGGTAAATGTGTATGTGGGTACACAAACAATAATGGACCTCCTTGCCAAATTACAGTAAAGGGATACAGCTGTTTCATAAACACTAAAATTTCTACAGATTTGGAGGGATTACATCTTTGCATTTGGGTATTTTTTAAACGGGTCTCGATGTTACGCAAGACTGTAGCTGTTTCTGAAGTCAGCTCTCTTGGTGAAGTAAGTTGTGTTTCACCTTTTAAAAGATTAAACAGGGGGAGCATTTCTTCTGTGGTTAATTTACAATAGGGCCGTATCCAATTTAAATTTCCACAGAGTTTTTGAAAATCATTTAAGGTCCTAAGCTGTGACGTGGCAATAGTAAAATCCAAGGGAGACACCGTAGTCGGTGTCAACTTTAGCCACAAATACTGAACTACTGTGTTCTTTTGAACCTTTTTAGGTGCTATTTGTAATCCTGCTGATTGCAGACACCCGCTTAGCGTAGTAAACGCTGCCTGTAACTGGTTCTCGGTGGCAGCTGCTAATTATAGATCATCCATGTAATGTAAAAGATATAATTGAAGATATAATTGGCGGACGGGTTCCACAGCCTGTGATACATACAGCTGACACAAGGTGGGGCTATTAGTCATACCTTGCGGAAGAACTTTCCACTCATACCTTTTGTTGGGCCCTGCATGATTTATAGAAGGAACTGTAAATGCAAATCTTTGGGTATCATTTTCATGTAAAGGAATGCTAAAGAAACAGTCCTTAAGATCCACTATAGGCCGGCGCCGCGGCTCACTAGGCTAATCCTCCACCTTGTGGCGCCGGCACACGGGGTTCTAGTCCCGGTCAGGGAGCCAAATTCTGTCTCGGTTGCCCCTCTTCCAGGCCAGCCCTCTGCTGTGGCCCAGGAGTGCAGTGGAGGATGGCCCAAGTGCTTGGGCCCTGCACCCCATGGGAGACCAGGAGAAGTACCTGGCTCCTGCCATCGGATCAGCGCGGTGCGCAGGCCACAGTGCGCCGGCCGCGGCGGCCATTGGAGGGTGAACCAACGGCAAAGGAAGACCTTTCTCTCTGTCTCTCTCTCTCACTGTCAACTCTGCCTGTCAAAAAAAAAAAATCCACTACAATAATAGGCCAATGTTTGGGAATCATAGTTGGAACAGGGAGCCCTGGCTGTAAAGCTCCCATAGGCTGCATTTGTTGATTAACAGCTCTGCGATCGTGCAACAGTCGATACTTGCCTGACTTCTTTTTTATAACAAAAATTGGAGTATTCCAGGGGGAGACTGAGGGTTGGAGGTGACCTGCCTCCAACCGTTGTTGGACCAAATCATGGACGGCAGCCAATTTTTCTCAGGAGAGGGGCCACTGCAGTATCCACACTGGCTTATTTGTTAGCCAGGTAAGTGGAAGGGTTGTCTTTCAGTGACCCCTATGAAAAAACCCAGACCCTGTCTTCCCTCATTGGGCTTTGGGGAGACGGGCTCCACCCTGCCTTGTTTCTTTCTCCCCAGTCCTCCGCCTGAGTAGCCCGTTCTTTTCATCATTTTCCAACCTGGGGAATGGGCTGTGGAAGGCTCGTTGGTTACCTGAACCTGCAATTGCTCCAGAATGTCCCTGCCCTATAGAGTGATGGGAACAGTGCACACATATGGCTGCACCTTGCCCATATTACCTTCTAGATCTTGCCAGTCCAAAACTTGAGCGCTCCGGGGAGGATCGCACGCAGTGCCGATGCCCACCAATGTATTGTCCCCTTCCTGCAAGGGCCACGACTTCGGCCAATCCTGATCAGAAATAACAGACACATCTGCACCCGTGTCCAGTAAGCCACAAATGGCTTTTCCCTTTATAGTGATAGTCCATATAGGGCAATCGCTAAGCGACATGGACAATGTTGCAAAATTTTTGCCTTGAACGCCCCATTTATCAACTGCAGGCGCCATAATTATTAATTGGGCTACCGGTTGTGATGGCAATAAGTGTGTAATCCCTTTGGTAGCATGGAGCAAGACCTTGAGCTTTTGGCAGGGTAATTGAATAATTCCTGTTACTACCATAAGGCCTTTGAGGGCATTCGTGGCTTTTCCTGTGGTGATGCCAAGGCATGTTTGTTCTGATAGAGGGTCCTGAGATACTACACTGATTGCTTGAACTCCCATCTGTGGTGTTAATACTGTATAGTCGGTGGCTCGCAACTCTGTGCAACGAATGCCTGGGCTCCCCCTTGATTTTGACCCATCCCCCCAGCTGGTTGTAGAGCTTATACCCATTGGGGTTGCGGAGCCTGCACCCATTGGGGTTGCAGGCCCCTGGGTGCTGGGGCCTGATTTCCGTTTTTTGATTTCGATTGCCACTGTCCTGCTACTCCCCACAATGAGGTTTGAACAAGGGGGTTGCCGGCCTTATTCTGTTTGGAATAACACTCATTGGCCCAGTGATTGCCTTTCCCACAACGAGGACACAGCCCTGGCTGACGGCCTGGGGGTTTGGGTTCTTTACACTCCCTCTTGAGATGTCCTTGTTTCCCGCATCTGAAACATTTACATCCGGACATATCGCCCCGCAGCATCTTTGCCATGGCTACGGCGGCATGAGATCCTGAGGCAACATCATCCGTAACATCCCTGCAAATCTTCAGGAATGTGGGGATGTCCTTATGCTGCCACGGTCTCAACGCTTCTCAGCAAGTTTTATTTGCCTGCTCATATGCTAATCCGCAGACCAGAGGCATAGTCTCCTCCACGGTGTTAAAGATGTTCCCTGCCGCTTCCATGAGTCTATTGACAAAATCTGCAAAGGGTTCGTTGGGTCCCTGTGTGATTTTCGATAAACTGTGCCCAAATTCCCCTTTTTGTGGACTAACGTTCCAGGCCCTACGGGCTAATTCTCTGACCTGCATCAGCACCTCGTTGGGGCACCTTGCCTGCCTATTTTTATCATTAAAGGCGCCCTGACTGGTAAGCATATCCTCGTTTCAGGCAGGCTGACCATTTTGGGCATTGTATCTGGCCTGTTCTACGGCTAGCTCTCTGTAGGCTGCAGCCCATAGCAGGAAGTCCCCGCCGCCCAGTACCGCCTTGGCTAGATTTTTCCAGTCATCCGGGATTAACCCCTGCGTCCCTATGTTTTTCAGCACCGCTTTTGTGAAATTTGCATGCGGGCCATATAGCTGCACAGCCTTTTGTAATTTTTTTAGCAGTTTGTGATCCAGAGGAGACGATTCCCTGTTGCCCTGTGCGTCCATGATCACAGGAAACACTTGTCCTGGCTGATGGTAGTCTTCCCAGTTTGGAGCATTACGCTCTCTACCGGTGCCCCGCCGCGATCGGGGTTCGTGGCTTCCACCTTCAAGAGTGGGGTCGCCGGTAGGGCTCCCGAGAGCTTCCCCTTTAGACAGGGTGAGCGACCGCCATCCGGGCCGATCTTCAAGGGATAAATTAGCCAAGTTAAACTGCGCACCTGACGTCTCCTCGTTCTGAGGCGCAGTTGGAGGTGGCCTATCCTTCTCTGCGCATCGTAAGCCCTCCTGTTCTTCCTGATCCCCCATCTGACTTCCAGAGGATGACTCCCTCTGTAAGTTCTCTAAGATTTCCGCACCCTTGTCTAGCAGGGCTCCTATTCTCTCCGAGGGGTCATTAAGCGCCTGCTCGACAAGCTGCCATAGGCGAAGCATTTCGGACGGCTCCCCAGCGGCGCGTAGTTGTCTCCCTACTCGCTTCCATTGGTCCTCATGGAGATCACCCTTTTCCACAAACCAAGGTGAAACTTTTGCAACCGTTCTAGTGAATGCACAAACAATGGCCGCTTTGACGGGCGTCCCCGCAGTCTTTGACAAGCGGCTCAACAGTAAGCTCAGCCTAGTCGTTGAGGGAGTATTTCCCATGATTTCTAGTTACCCTTTTTTCTTTAATTTCCCGTCTCTAGGACAGCACCGCGGTCTAATCCTAGGTCTTACACCACCTAGATTCCCGTGTATGCACGCTCTTGTGGTAAAGTTACCTTACCTTTCCTGGCGCTTCCAGTGATCCGAGTCACGGGACCACTTGTCGCTCCACTGCCCGCGGAAGAACGACGCGACTCGCCGGTTGATTTGTCTTACAGACTTCTTTATTGCAAGAGCTGGGTTGCAGCAGTTAAGAAAGAAGAAGGAGAAGGAGAAGGAGAAGGAGAAGGAGGAGGAGGAGGAGGAGGAGGAGGAGGAGGAGGAGGAGGAGGAGGAGGAGGAGGAGGAGGAGGAGGAGAAGGAGAAGAAGAAGAAGAAGAAGCAGCAGCTCTGACCCAACCACCCGTACAGCACATATATATCCCCAGCTGCTGTCCAAGTCCCAATGGCCCAATGATTATTCAGTTCACGTGAAATGCATGCCGTCTGAGTCCAATCAGGTTGTAGGGCACAAAGTCACCAGGGTGGGATGCCGGTGCTATCTCAACAGGTTCCCTTGGAATGTTATGTGCTGCAACAGTTACACAATGTGGTTAGCACTTCCCCTACTTTCTATGTTCTGTGGTTGCCACATAGGCCGTGTGCTAGCAGAAATGAGGAAGTTCCCACAAGTGGCCAGCCTGCAGTTCCCCACAGTGGTGGTACAGATGGGAGGGTGGGTAGGGTGGGAAGAATCACTATGTTCCTAAATTATTTTTATTTATGAAATGCATGAAGTTCGTATACCTTAAATAAAACAAAAGAGGGCAAAACTGGCAGGAAAAGACAAATCTACCTTGCAGACATGTTCTTCCAGAAAGATGAGCTGTTTGCATGTATGAGGTTTTAGGTAGTAAAGCTATCCCCACCCCTGACAGGCTGACAAGGGGCAGATGGTTGTATGTATTTATGTTACATGCTTAGCCCTTGAAATCATTAGCATTCTCAGTCCTTGACTAGAATGTTCATTAAATAAATAGAGAGAAATAAGACAAGTCTTTGTGCTCAGATGTTGATTCATTCATTCATTCATGTTTCATTCATTCTTCCACCAACCAAACATGTGAATAAGTATCTAACACAACCAGGATCAGACCAGGTACAGGACCACGTGGTAAACTAGAATAATAGTCTCTGACTTCCCAGAGCTATATTTATAGGAGAAATTAACACTAACTTCTTATGATTGGTTATTAAATTATCCTTATTATTGTGATAAGAGATAAATGCAATTGTTGAGCAGTTATAAACATAATAACACCTTAGAAAAGAAAATAGAAGAATAATCTGAGAGGATTGACAGAACATAGAAAACAGTTGCTAAGCCAAAGCATTGTGCCTTTGAAGATGGGAGAATGGCAGGTGGTTCAGGGAAGAAATTTCACAGAAGCAATCTCCAAACAAATTATGGAGACAAAAAGGAAGGAGGGGGTGGCAGCTTCAGTTATCTTATCTATGTAGTGGCTGCAGGTAGAATTATTGAAAATAATTATTTTCAATCTCAAATTACTTTGTTCTACTGGCATATAAGTTTATCCCAGTTTTAATATTCCAACCATCTCCATATGAATCAGGCAGGGTGTGCAGCTAAATGTGCACAAATGGCACCACCCTTGCACCATCTGTCTCTAATTAGCAAGTTTGGGCTCTGCCTGGATGAATGACTTAGCATGACTCTGCAGCCTAAAATTTTTTAAAGGAGCCTGATTATTTTAGGAGACAACAAGTTATATAAAACAAAACTAACCCATCCTCTGGGGAGTGAAAAATATGTATCTGTACCTGTGAACAGAAAGGTTAAACAACCTGTGCAAAGTGCATGCTCTGAAAACTAGATTTTAGATGTTTTATTTATTTTAAACTAAGAGCACACTCCTTGATCAGTAAAATCTGAGTGTGCATTTTCTGAGGGCTCTTCCTGTAAAACATCTTCTTTCAGCAGCCTCCTTTGTTCGTTTTTGTGAGTTAAATCCAAGTTGCAAATAAATGGATCTGTCATCATTTCTCAGAATGTGTTGTTTTCAACATGACCTGCTGATTTTCCCAAGTGCTCACTGTTATTGCGGAGTCATGGTAGCATGGCCCATCAACCTCTTTCGCTTGTTTTTTGGCCACTGAATCCCTTGCCTTTCCTTTGACCTCCACCCAAGTATATAGCCTTGCATCATTCTTTTCTCCAGATGTCTCTACTTTTACTTTTTGATTCAAGTCCAAGGTATTTTAACTTGAATTTCTTGACTTCTCTCAAGAATAAGAACAGCTGCTGGAAGAAAGCCCAATCTTGCACAGTGAAATCTAGGTGGTAGAACTTCCTCATGTGCATAACAACTTCACTGTCATTTTCCTGAAAACAGTTCCTTTTATTATCTTTCACTCCCTATGGTGTTATTTAAAAAATCAAATGACACCATATATGTGAAATTGCTTGCATGCTACGCTAATAATATGGGGACTAGCTTTATTATGACTTTATTTGAGTTAACTTTCTTAATATAGCAAACAATGAATTCAACAAATGGCTTGTTAGAGTGTGATGTAGATTGGTAGGCTGATAGCTGCTTTATCTTCTTCAAGGCTTGTTTAGGTGTCATCTCCTCCAGGAATCAACTGTAAACCTTGAGTCTCAACTTGGCTGCACATCAGAATCAGCAGAGCAGCTTTTTATGATCATGATGCCCAGGTCACATATCTAAGAGCTACACACCAAAAATTCTGGAACAGGGAACCAAACATCCGTATTTTTAAACACCCCAAGTGATTCAGTGTGTGGTCAGGAATCTTTGGTGTGGTCTCTAGTGTTTTGCTCTTAAGCACTGTTTGCAGACCCCTGTCAGAGCACTTACTAAGTTACATGGAAACTATCTGTGTATCTATGCCTCCCACCCCAGATTACAGACTCCTCACGTGCAAAAATAATGCCCTTTTGTTTGATTTTATGTCATGGCATATCAAGACTAGGGACTAACACAGGGACTACTACACAGTACACATTCAGTAAAGATTGAATTAAATGGAAAAAGAATTGCAAATTGCTCCAGATTCCCTTGAATCATTTTTCCTATCAGAAAAAAAAAAAAAGTGGTTGGGCAAAATCATTGGGTAAAAGTTGAGCTTTTTGTTTGTTTTGAATATTTAAACTATTGGCTATGAATTTTAAAAGATACTTGGAAAAAAATCAAAATATCATCTCTAAAAGAAGAACAAACCCTTTAATATGCAGAATTTAACTTCTGCAGTGAATTTTTCAACTGAAAATTGGATGGCAAATTTATTAACAAATTTTTAAGCAAATGTATTAGAATTCTTTAAAGATTATTTTCTTTCAGTATTGTAAAACATTTTCCTTTCACTATCGTGTGCTTAAGAATGATCTTGAAAATTAATTAAAAGTGCAGGCTTGTAGGCGTTGTCCCAGAATTTCAGATTCAGAAGGTCTTCAGTGGAACAAAGGCATTTGTGTAGCTAGTTTTTCTGCTTCCCTGGGCTTGAAGAATTCTTATTTTCGACACAGATTTACACTATTCTAGATTCTAACTATATATTAGAAAACTATATTCTAACTATATATTAGAAAAATAATATCAGAGATTACCATCAAACAATAAGAAACCACAATCAAAATTCTAGACTACTATCAAAATATTTCTATGATAAAATATTTCTAAGACTAATATTCTAAACCATATTATGGTCAGTACTTTATATAAAATAAATAGAAGACAGATGATCAAATAATTTTGTCAATCATATAAGATTAAATTAATACAGACCTAGTAGTTCTGTTTCTCTCTCCTTGACCCCCATCTCTCTTCATCTTTCTTTCTCTTAAAATCATTTCCTGGGGCCGGCTCTATGGTATAACTGGTAAAGCCACCAACTGCAGTGCCAGCATCCCATGGGGAGCTGGTTCGAGTTACGGCTGTTCCACTTTCGATGCAGTAGAAGATGGTCCATGTCCTTTGCCTTCTGCACCTGTGTGGGAGACCCGGAAGAAGCTCCTGGCTCCTGGCTTAGGATCAGCACAGATCCGGCTGTTGTGACCATCTGAGGAGTGAAAAAGTGGATGGAAGATATCTCTCTCTCTCTGCCTCTGCCTCTCTGTAATTCTACATTTTAAATAAAAAAAAATAAATCTTTAAAAAATCATTTCTTGATGTCAAGTTTCTTATAATTATGTGAGTCCTATGTTCCTAGCTCAAACTCATTTTTAGTATTGCCAATTCCACAGGTGCAATTATTAGATATACTAGTATTCTTGGTTGCAGTAACAGAATCCACCCTACCTAGTTTGAGAAAAAGGGTATTTCTTGTTTTTGTGGGTTTTTTTTTAGGAGATTTGGGGTGGCTCACAGAATTATCAGGCTGAGGAAATAGATCTTAGGCTAAATTCCAGGAATGACTCCCAGAATCACAATCCCAATTGGCCCACCAAGTAAGCTGATGACTGCCAAGATAAGAAAACTAGAGATGCACAATGCTTTGATTATGGTTCTATCACAGCTCCCTCCAGGAAAGGGAACCTTCACATGCATCCATTTTCCAATTTGATTCAGTTCCAAATCAAAGCATCTGAGTTATAGAAACCAAATTAAATATTTGTTCCCAGAAGAAAGGGAATCTACTTTGGAAAGCAGGTTTTACACTGTAGGAACTATACAGATGTAGTCAAAGACTGAGTCACTGATGTCCTATACTAGGTAAGTCATGACAACTGTTTACATTATGAAACAGACCCAAATGACTTTTGCTTTTTGTTGAGTATTCTGAAATAAAACATAATCCCTACATATTCCTCTAAGAATCATAGCACTTCAAAATCAACAATTTCAATTTTTTTTTCACTTGGCCTGTTAATTTCACCCTTGGAGATATGTTTATTCTGGTTTTGAATGGATGACAAAATAGCTTTTGATAGAAACATTAAGTCAGATTTGCTAGATACAGTCTAAACTGGTACTTTTGAAAGTAAATGGATTTTTTTCTAATTCAACTAATTCTATAAATTAAAATACATTAAAATGTTTAATTCCGGGGAGGAAGTAAGTAAGGAATAAAAATATGTCTACAAGGTAACCTGGACATCAAATAGCCAAGGAATTCTTTGGTCTTTAGTAATATATACCTACAGCAAAGAAGGCCAAAGGATATAAAATGTGAAATGCTTACCAACATTACCTCGTACTCATCAGCACACAATTATGATTTATAATAATAAAAAAGTAAGTAACCAAAGAAAAGACAATTTGCTTTAGTTTAGGCAATGCCACCTGATATTTGGGAT